CGTTGAAATTTTTATTTCTATAAAATTTAAACAAATTGAATAAAAATGAAAAACCAAATTTGTTGTGTAGTGAGTTGTAAAGATATGAGTAGAAAAAATGAATGCAAATTTTATGAATTTTCTACCGCTAAATGAAAAATAAATTAATGGAAGCTGTGAATAGCATCATAATCATATTGTTATCAAAAATTCGGAGTATTATAAATTGTTATGAAATTGTTATGTTTACTTATTGTAAATAATTTTTTGCAATTCTAAATAATAATATATATATTAGTAGCATTTATGGACTACCGTGGGTTTCCGAATCATATGATAGAATTTGTAGTGACCATTTTATTTGGGGTGCAAAATCAGAAATGGAAGCTACATTCCAACACCAACAATATTTCTTTCGATTTATAAGTCTCCAAAAGTAAATGAATCTTCTTTAAAATATAATTAGAACAATTTATTAATTATATAATGCTTGAACATTATTATTAATATCTATTTCTTTGGTTTGATAAAAAAATAATAAAAAACTGTGAATTAAATTATTATTTACTTACTCTATTGTAAAAAGATTTTTTTCATTATTATTTTTCTTAAGAACTATTCCTTATAAGTATTTACTGCATTTCTTTATTAATTTTATCATTATAATTACTTGTGCTTTATGCACTTTGAGATAAATTTTAAAATGTCAGCAATTCATTCCTTTCTTTGGCTATTGACAAACTTTTAAAAACATGCACATAATATTTAGTATGGCGATGCAGCCGCGCTCGGAGCGAATTCCAAGATACCTTTTCTTTATAAAATCTACATAATGTAAACATTATTACAATTTCACATTGATATTAATCAACTTCGTGGTAATTTTATAAACTGTTTAATTCTAATTATAGGCGGAATAAAATGGGCTTTAGTTCAATTTAATTTTGTAATTGATCTGATTATGTTTAGGCAAAAATTTAGTATGAATTCAATCGTTTTAGCTGATTTTTTTTTTTTTGCTAATGACTAATTTAAACAACATATCTTTTGAATTGATTCAAGGCAAACTTTATCCCTCTATGAAAGGTATTAAGCATTTCTATTTGGAAAATAATTTTATTTTTTAAAAAGTAGTAGGAAAATCAATCTTGTAGATCCAGTTGTGTTAAATGAATAAGTACATTGAATATTAATTTAATCTACTATGCCAATTGGATGATGTCTGTTAATCTTGAATATGGTACTTTCAAGCACTCAATTTGATTGTTAATTTCAACGCAAAATATGTCAAAGCACATTTTTCAAAAGTTTTGTAAGGCGTATTTGTGAGTAGCTTTCAAGTCTTGGTTTTCATCCACTCTTATTTATCTGACAGTAAATATTAGTATTTGTTAATTAATCTTCGGACTTGTTTTTTCGTACCTTGTATCATTTATGGGAAGCAAATGTATTGGCCGCTTATTCATCTCAAATCTTGATGTCTTATTTTTTATGCTATGTTTGAAATTTACGTAGAGCATTACTTAATTTCATGTTTTAAACAGAAATCTTTTAAAAATGACGAGGTTTTATAAATATTTATATCAAAAAAAAATCCTGTTTCACAAATACTATTCAAAATACTATTTTCTCAACTAAGCCTTTGCAACTTTCGGCAGGTCATCAAAAAAATGTACTGTCGGGCATTGCCATGATGAAAGACAGCACCTTCACTTCAGGCTTTTTTTGTATAGCGAAGGAAATGCCTTTATGCATCCCAAACTGGTGTTTTATCTGGGTATGTCGGACTCAATACAGCCCTGGTATAATACCGACTAAAACCTCCACTTTGCCCTGGCCTCTGGTCCCCACGGAAACCGCCGTTAGACATTAATTCGTGGGGGAGAATCTAGAATGTTATTATTCTTAACTTCATTTTATACTCATCTTTTAAATGAGCGAAGTCCCATTCGCTCTTTCTCTTTTCATCGAACGCAGGTCAATTAGCACCACTCTCGCAAATCTGTCTATGGCGTTCCAAGCAGCTTCAGTTGTCAGCATCACTTCAACAACAGTATCTCGAGTAATTCTTCGGCTCAATATCTTTTCCCCATCGTCCCGCAGAGCACCAAATCGCGGGCACACCAAGAACACGTGCTCAGCATTGTAATATCATTCTGGTTTGTTTAGGGCCTCCAACATTAGGCATCAGTCGAGCAAGTTTCGTCCTAACTACGCCTTGGCACTACCATGCTAACTGACGCCTTGGCACTAACGTGTTCCACCTGTTGATTGAAATTCAATCCAGCATCAAGCATTACGCCAAGGTAGAAGATGTGAGATTTTGACGTAATATCTAGATTTCCTATATTTAGCTTAATGGTCTCTATTGTTTTTCTACTCGTGATAAGAACAGCTTCACTTTTTTGTTGTGCTAATTGGAGGTTCATTGTTTGCATCCAGCATTAATTTTTCTACTGGTTATGTCAAATAGACTTACAATCTCATCAGTTCGTTTGGAGACAACTGCTATGGCACATCGTCTACATATGCTACTAGTTTCACATATGCTGGAATCTCAATGCTCAAAAGGCCATCATACATAACATTTCACAGCAAAGGGCCTAGAACAGAGCCCTGCGGTGCATATTTTGTTAAATTATATTCTTCTGTACCATCGCGTAAACATCAGAATTTCTGTAAAGCAGCTTGCGACTATATTGCAGAGGTATGCTGGCACGTTCTTATCACGGAGTGTATTCATAACAGTTTTTTCAGTCATTGGATGAGTTGAGTGTGACATATATTTTACGTCGTCAAAATTACCAGAAGGAAAGGAGCAAACCATTTCCGCGTGGTAGATTTAAATAGCGCATTTTTTCATTTTTTTCTTCATTTTGGAACGCAAGTAACTGTCCAACCACTTAACCAATTTTGTTTGTTATAACCTTATAATAATGCTCAAAGTCACCTTTCAATTAAACATCGCATCTACTGGTGCAGCTGCGACGTGTTTATTTCTGAAAGCGAACTTTTTGACCTTATATAAAATGATTTGCTTAATACTTTTTGGAAAATTAATTATGATAGCAACATAAATCCGTTATGAAAATTAACTAGTAGAATCGTACCAGCTAATATTCAAATTTATGGGCCAAAAGCGACACTAAGGTCGGCCGCACGCAGTGGCACAAACAACTTTGCTCGGCGTTCGAAACTGCACAAATCATAAAATTCCTGTAGTTTGTATATACACGTGCTCGGTACAATTAACTTTGCAAGATGTTTGATAAACTAGCTGTAAGTGGAATTCTGTCTTAAGGCAATTAAGGCATCGTGCCTTAAGGCAATTGCTGGAACTTCCCGTACCAAATATTATTAATTTTTTAAAAACGATTAACGTTTTTGAAAAAAATGTACTTTGAAAAAATAATATTTTTGAGAAACTATATATATGGACCAAAAATTACTTTTTTTTGAAAAAAAAAAATTTTTTTAATAAAAAATTTTTTTTAAAAAAAATAATTTTTTTTTAATTTTTTTTTTTTTGAAAAAATTTTTTTTTCTTTATTTTGACATATTGTGGAAGATCTGAACTTTTTTTCAAAGCAATCGTACTGATTTAACTGCATAGGGACAAAAAAAAAGCGCGTAAGCGCCGCGTCGCTGTCTAACGCATAAGCATTGGTACGGAACCCATAGGAATGTTAACAAAATGTATTCTTATTGTTAAAATCTCTATAAAATATCTGATAATTTGATGTGCATATGTCTAATGATCATTTTTGACCGCCAAATGGCTCATTTTTTTACTTTTTCCTCCATATCTCCGAAACCGCTAGACCTACCTTTATGAAAATGTGTGTGTGTGTATGTGTGTGTGTATGTATGTATGTGTGTGTATGTATGTATGTGTGTGTATGTATGTGCGGATACAAATTTTCGTCGACGATTTCGGGAACACGGGTCAACCGATTTGAATAATTCAAAAAACATTCGATTCGTATTGATAAGGAGACGTGCTGATTAGTTTTTGGCGAAGGCAGGTCTAGCCGTTCCAAAGATACGGGGCAAAAAGTGCCGAAAACGGTAGCTCAGTTTTTGAGAGAACGGAGCGTCCGATTTGAATAATTCAAAAAACATTTCACTTGTATTGACAAGATGAAGAATCGATAAAATTTTCATGAAGGTAGGTCTAGCGGATTCGGAGATATGGAAGAAAAAGTAAAAAAATGAGCCATTTGGCGGTCAAAAATGATCATTAGACATATGCTCATAAAATTATCAGATATTTTATAGAGATTTTAATAATAAGTATACAATTTGTTAACATTCCTATGGGTTCCGTACCAATGCTTATGCTTTAGACAGCGACGCGGCGCTTACGCGCTTTATATTTAGTCCCTATGCAGTTAAAGCAGTACGATTGATTGCTTTGAAAAGAAAGTTCAGATCTTCCACAATATGTCAAAATAAAAAAAAAATTTTTTTCAAAAAAAAAAAAAATTAAAAAAAAAATTTTTTTTTTAAAAAATTTTTTTCAAAAAAAGTAATTTTTTGTCCAATTTATAGTTTCTCAAAAATCTTATTTTTTCAAAGTAATTTATTTTTTCAAAAATGTTAATCGTTTTTAAAAAAATAATAATTTTTGGTACGGGAAGTTCCAGCAATTTGCCTTAAGGCACGATGCCCTAATTGCCTTAAGACAGAATTCCACTTACAGCTAGTTTTTTTCAAATCTGAAGAAATTGTTCGGTGAAAAACTAATCAACGCGAGCCCTTATCGAGTTTCTTTAAATATCTCAATTTTTTGGCTCACATACACACACATACTTGTTTCCTAATATCGATGTCAAGCTTTTGAGAATTACTTGATATGCCGAGAGTCCATAAAATTAGCAAATCAAATTTCCTGGCAAAATGAAACTTTTACCCAGAATTTAAAAAAGATGTTCTAATTGTTCAATATTTGAGTTTTATTTAAAATTCTAACATGTTTTGAAGTCATATGATATATATAAAAAATCGTTTATCTACAGTGCGGCATGAGACGGCCTACATTTGCATTCAACGCAGTACAATCGCCGCGTCGCTCTGGCAAAACACGTCGTTTCAATGTCGGAAATCATGATGGTGCTATTATAAGCGATTCATCTGGCAAGCAATGCTCTTCGAGTAGTGAAGGTACTTCTAGTAACTACGAAACTAAAGGAAATCTTATCGGCGAATGTAATTCATCTCCAACACTCGGATCACTCAGCACTTCTACGCCTCAAAAACCAGAGGGAGATATTCATAATGCTAAGAATCAATTCCGCAGGGCTGCCAACGTCTGCGGAAACGACGTCCAACTAGTTTCCACTCCACTACCATATAGCACCACAGGTAAGATAATGGCACGGAACTTTATGCATGTATTCAATATCTCCGATAAGAAATAATAAGAAAAATAATTGCATCTGTCGTCAAATCGTGTAATTTTAATAAGCACTTGATAATAACTATAACTTGATAATTTTTATGTAATGCATTTATCTATTTGTCTATTATATAATATTATATATTAGCGTTATTAGTGACTTCGTCCGCGTGGAATTTATAAGTTTTTGCATTTTTATTCAAATTATTATTTATTTTCAGTCTTCTAAAAACATTTTTATATACAATATTTATTGTACGATTTTCATAGGCTAAAACGCTAAAACAGTGATTTCTAACGTGGGAGCTACACCCCACGGCGGTAGCAAATGGGCAGATGTGTATTTGGAGGGCATGGTTAGATGCAGGGGGCAGTGAAAACATAGAACAAACAAAAATAGAAAAATAATTCAAATTAAGATTTAGAAATGTGTTGATATGTTAATTGAAACAAAGTAAAGTCGATATTTCTTGCATTGAATAATTTTTTTGAATAAAAAAAAACTACGTCAATAATATTTTATCAATAGCTTCATAAACTGATCCAGAGATGATAGGGCGCTCAAGGGGTTTCTTACATATTTTAAAAGTGGAAGTACCAATTGCATTCACTGTACTGAGTCGTTGATCGCCTATGTCTTGTTGCCCAATATTTAGCGCGCACCTTCATAATTCATTACAATATGTGATTAAATGTATCAGCATGATAAGCATCAGATAGTTGAATGATAGTTTATTTAAGAACCTTTGTATTGAAAATTATGAAGAATTTTATCGTTTGTGGCTTCTTTAACCTTCTTGCTACAAGTCGTTGATCGCCTATGTCTCGTTGCCCAATATTTAGCGCGCACCTTCATAATTCATTACAATATGTGATTAAATGTATCAGCATGATAAGAATCAGATAGTTGAATGATAGTTTATTTAAGAACCTTTGTATTGAAAATTATGAAGAATTTTATCGTTTGTGGCTTCTTTAACCTTCTTGTACATGTCGTCCCTAGACGACATCCTCATGACATACTATGTGTACGAATGTCGTGCATGGGCTTAGCCTTAGCTTCAATATTGAGAATTCTAGTTTTTTTATTGTAATTTGTAGTTTATTAAAACCGTAATTTTTAATCTTTTAACACATTTTTATTGATAATGAAAGGATTAAAGATGAAAGTGGGGATTTGCCCAACTAATTTAATCCAAAAATTTGATGATATACAAAAATGAATATATTTATTCGGGATATTTTTTGTTATTTCTTGTCTAACAATAAGTTATACCATCTTCACCTACCAATGAAAACAGAATATGGCAATTGCAAAAATTTAGGAATCAAATAATGCCTTAGAAATATAAATTATAATGATCATTTCAAAACGTTCCAAAATTATTATGTTGATACAAAAAATATCTATGTGTATTAAATAAAATATATTTTAGGTGATTGTCAAAAGCCGAGGAAGCGCAAAGAGCGTCTAGATAGTTCTTCATCCATAACACAAGAAAGAAAACTAGTGCGATCTAATAGTGAAGAAAGACCCCCTGAAGAAAAAAGTGAGATACGGCGGGTGGTGTCTCACGAAGATTTTCTTCCACTGCATGTACACAATGCTAGACTTGCCAGCCAATATGCACATAACGATAATATACATAAGGTGAGCTAATTTTTCGAATTTATTTCTATTTTTAACTTTGTGCCTTTAAACATAGTTTGTAGTTGTTTTCTTGTGGATAGTTAAAGTCGTTATCATTTCTCTTAAAAAAACAACAAATTATATTTTAAAAATGTTTATAGTTATGTACCGCGTCGAACTTGCTTTTTTTAATATTTTTATATTATCAATGTCCAATTAGTTAACATAAAACTTGCCATTTATTAACTTCCCGTATGGTAAGTTATAGTAATCGCAGAAAAATCTAAAACGAAAACTATTACATAAATTTACTTTTCATAGTCTTTATAATATTTTGGCATATCTCACAATTAGAAAAATATGATTTATATGTGCGTGTGTGTGCGAAGCCATCTGAGAGCGCGGATTAGCCGATTTGATTAATTCAAAAACATTAGATTTCTATTGATGGGGAGACATTCTGATTAGATTTTTTTTGGCTAAGGCAGTAATTTCGAAGATACGTGGCAAAAAGAGCCATAAATGGTAATTCAATTTTTGAGAGAACTGAGCGTCCGATTGTAATGATTTAAGACCCATTTTACTTGTATGGACCGAATAGTCAAGTGACTAAATTTTTTGCGTCAAAGTTAAAAACTGTTTAACTGAACATTGATTTGGCATTGATAATTTTAATTTCTAAAAAAAATACTGATATATTATTTTTTAATTGCTCAGACATCAGATCTTATTGTTAGTCACAAGGTGTATTAAATAGACAAAAAATCATGCTGCTATATCGTTTTTTATGTTTACTTAAGTGAAATATTTTATTTTATTTAAAATGTTTGTTAGTCAAATCATTTTTTTTTTAAATGTTAATCGTTTTTAAAAATATAACTTTTGGTACGGGAAGTACCAGCAATTTGCCTTAAGGCACGATGCCATTGTGCGACGATCGGCCAAGCCGTTTCTTCGTAAATGGCAGAGAAGTAAAAAGTCTTTCGTCCACGTTTTAGCCCGCAATTCTGAATCGATTTTGAAAATTCAAAAATCGTTCGAAAGATATTGGTTGGGAATCGACCTGATTAGTTTTTGGTAGAGATCGGCCGGGCCGTTTTCTTGTAATAAAGTTTTAAAAAAAAATTTTGACGATTTTTATGATTATTTTTTTGACGGTAGAATCCATAGTCTTCTATATCATACTAAAATATTACGGCCCTACGACAACAGGTTCAGCTTTAAAAATTCGTCAAAGTTTGCAAAAATTGGTATCGTTTTTTTGGCATTTGTCAAAATTAGACCTTTGATCGACGTTTTCTCCAAAACGCCTGAGCCGATTTTAGAAATTTAAAAGCTATTTGATGTATTTCGGTGAGGACTATCGTTTGTCAGTTTTGTGTGACGATCTGCCAAGCCGTTTCTTTGCAATTTGAAAAAAAGTGTTAAACTTTTCGTCCACATTTAAGCTCATCCTACCGAACCGATTTTAAAAAATCAAAAATTGTTCGAAAGATATTAGTTGGGAATGGTACTGATTAATTTTAGGTGAAAATCTACCGAGCCGTTTTCTTGTTATTACCTGTTGAAAAAAAAATTTAAGCCGATTTTCATGGAACTTTTTTTGGCGATATACATCATGATCTTATAGAACTTACTGTAATATTGCGGCTTTACGACAAGTAGTTTAATTTTAAAAATTCGTCAAATTTTGCTAAAATTATTATTGTTTTTTTAAAGTAGGATTAATGAAGTATATTATTTACTCTTTTTTTTATTAAGTCGATTATTTACACATATCTGGAAGTTCATGTAACTTGCCTCAAGGCTAAATACCAAACCAACTAGTTTTATAATGATTTACACTCTAAAAAAATCCCTTAACAAACTTCAAAAAGATGCATCAAAATCTGAATAATCGTTTCACACATCGTTACAGAAGAATTTTATATATAAGAAGATATATATTGGAGTATGTAAATTTGGTGTTGATATATATTAAAAGTTTTAATAATTCGTTTTAATAATCGTTTTAATTTAAAACGATATGTGGAATCGGACAATAGCACCAAATAAAAAAAAACTAAAGCAATTAGGAAATCAGATTTATTAATCTATACGTTTCAGTCCTCGTCGAGACCGCCATTCAGTGGAAAACTTTTTTATAATTAATTTATGTATAAAAAGAAAGTGGATATAAACATATTGAACTTAAAGATATAGAATATATTTTTAAGAGGAATATAAAAGATATCTTTTTGATGGTCGATTTCCAACCAATATCTTTCGAAGGGTTTTAGAATATTTAAAATCTATTCAGAATTTACAAAAAACGGCTTGGCTGATCGTGGCGCAAAATTGATAAACGATAGTCCTTACCGAGTTACATTGAACGGCTTTTAAATTCTTGAAATCGGCCCAGCCGTTTTTGAGAAAACGTCGACGAAATGTCAAAAATTCGTTCACACACACACACATACTTTTTTCAAATTTGGTCTCATTCGATTCAGAATGGCTTAAAACGTCGAGAAAACATAAACTTAGCAAATCGGATTTTTTGATAAAAGCATAAACTTCTTCTTCGGGAAGTTAATTAGTATATTGGTATCCAATGTATAAATAAATAATACATTTAAAAAATAGTGCGTGTAAGGATCACAGGCGATTGAAGTAAAACCTATTTGCTACTGTACAAAGTAACAATTTTAAGTTAAGTAAAAATAAATATATCATATAACAATTCTGAAAAATGTTTATTAGTAATATGGTAACACTCGTGATGTGATTATACACATTTATAATAATGATAAATTATAAATTATATATATAATTAATTATATTAATAATAAATTAATAATTAATTATATATTTATAAGGTCATTAAAAATATGTATAATATTTAGAAACAATAATGTAATTAAAGCCATACATCAAATATGACATGATCGGTTTGTCATTGTAATTAGCATTAGAAACGAACCTTCATTAGAGAAATGAAGTAATTTGCTGATTTATAAATTTTATAATATTCGTTCACACAGTGGATTATATTAAACAACGCCTAAACAAATATTGTTCTTGCAACTTCACTCATCATGTAACAATTGTGTTTGAAGAACTTCATGTAATTAAAATTAACATACATTCATTGACTGCTTGTGTTTTTTTACTTTTTCGCTGGCGATATAATCTCGTTCTTTGAACAGCTGTAATATCTGTCTTGCCTAAAAAATATTTTCCATTACAATAATCTTATATAATAACCTAATTTTTTCACATATTATCTTTAGTTTATAATTAGTACACTTTAAAATGTAATTATATTGTATTATTGCCTTGAGCGTTGAACAGTGGCGTAACTATAGGGTGGCGTGGGCGGCAAAATACCACGGGCCCCCGACCTAAGGGAGCCCCGGCCCAAGAAACCGCGGACTCCCGCGAAAATACATTTTTACATTGTACATAAATTTTATTTCACTCGAAACTTATATTTTATATTTTTTAAGTTCAAAGTCAGAGTTAATCATTCAACCAGGCTTGCGTCGAACTTACATTCGGCCGAATATCAAATAGTTAAAACCAAAAGAGTCGCCCCCGCACAGCGAAAGTATTGTGTTTTATCTTTTATGCGATGAAGAGCTGCGATGGATCTGCATTGGAAAATCTTTAGTTTATATAATATGATATCAAGAATGAATGAATGAATTTATTATTGTATATATAATAATTTGTACTTTATCGACTTTTATAAAAAAACGTGAAGAACTCTTTTCTCAATTTCAGTGGCGTAGCGTGCCTTCGCGGGGCCTTGTATCAAAATATGTTTGGAAGCCCCCTTAAGAAGAAATTTTTCATCACGAAATATAAAAATACATAAAATTAGAAGAATAGTTATTTATTTTTCTAATTATTTTTCTATCTAATTTTCTATAATTTTCTGAATTTTTCATAAATGATTTCAGATAAAAATATTCCCCCTCATCTTTTTTCGAAAAACTGAATTATTAAGTGATCTTTAGATTTTCTAAAGTTTCTGTCTCTAGGAACAACAGACTAGGTCTGGTAGACATTCCTGTCCCAAAGTTTTTAAGCAATTTATTTTAGTTTTAGTTTTGAATATAATCGTATTCGTGAAGCACATACAAAGTTTTGAAATCTTTTTCAAATATTTTGCAGTACAATTAATTCTTTTAAAGCATTAGCTTACAAGTTGAAGTTGAATACCTATCAATAACAAAAGGAAATGCTAACTACGTCCAAGTTATTTAATTTTTTATAAATCATTGTTTTACATTAGAGTTTTCATCAATTTCTGTTTACGCTCGTTGGGCCCCCTGCTCAATATTCAAAGAATACATCATTGTTATAGTTATGTTATTTAGTTGAGTTGTATGTATATACAATAAAGTCATTCATTATATTCAATATAAGCCTTTACTAAATAAAGAGCTATGTTAGGTTTTTTATCGCCGAAAATACAAACATTATTTTCGGTTTTGAAAATTAAAGTTTACTTTCAGAAGCAGATTATACTTCTGACATGTGGACTGCGACAAGTTTCTTTCTTAGTTTTCTTTATTATAATCGGTATATTGCTGATTATACTATTTGTTGCAAGCCTAATTTCAACACATTCTAAACGAAAGGATTTTAATTCGTTTTAGAACACATTCACACTAGTTACTTCATATTTTTTTGCGTTTTCGTTGAACAGTTTATGAGTTTTTAATTATTCTGGCCATGATATAAAAAAATGGAATATTTTATCAAGATTTGAATGTAATAACGATATAACATTAAAAATATTTAAGCCTACTAGATGTGCAAGACATTCCGATGCCAAATGAAAGTATTTCATATAAAAAAAGTTTGCAAACTACAATTATTTTATTATTGGTTTTCCATTGTAATATTCTACTAGCATTTAAAACGCTATAATCTAAAACCAACGATCTTTCAAATACTATAAACATTTAAAAATTTGTTAAGAATTAGAAAATTATTGACATGAATTTGGAAATTTAAAATTAGACGCCACTAGTGTAGTAGAAAAATGATTTATCAATCAAGAATTTTTTTAAAACTCGTCATAGGAAGGTAATACACTATTTTATTTTGACAAGCTTTGGGAATTCATATTCAAGATACTGAAAGTTTGTTCAAAGTGAATATATTTCATCGAGTATTGAACATTATTATTAAACAAATTAAATCTTGTTTCTTCCGATGAATTAATATGTTCCAAATTTCTGTATTTTGCTACAATAGAAGTTTTCAGTGATACTGATCAATTAAATAAAATCTCTATAATTCGTTTAGATAAAAAAGACATATATTAATATCATATTATATTAATATATTAATATCAGAAAATCAGAATAAACAAATTTTAAAATTATTATTTAATAGATCAGCCATAAAAAACCTTTCGTTCAGATTCTGAACCATATGCCAGGAAAATTTAGTTTTCGATCAACTTTCAGAGGCGGAATAGGAAATTCTTCGGAATAGACACTTTTACGCAACTGAAAGCAGTAAGAAAAGATTTTATTTATTAAATAGCTTATTGAAGTATCATTTTTTTTTATTTCATTTTGAATATGTGCAAGGTTAATTATTGTTTCTTCAAAAAGAAGCTAGATGACAAATGTCTTCATCTTCGTTAAAAAAAATCGTCCAAAAGGTATTGAAACGGAGTGGATTACCGAGAAAATGAATACTTTTCAATACTGTTTTCAATCATAATTTTTCATACAGATCGAACGTCACTACTTAATCAATAAAATTAATTACAGTAAAAAAAGAAATTGTTAATAGAAGGTTATGTAATAATTAATTTATTTCAATTTCCATTTATTCTAACGTTGAAAATATTCACCAATATTAGCTTATTGAAGTATCATTTTTTTTATTTCATTTTGAATATGTGCAAGGTTAATTATTGTTTCTTCAAAAAGAAGCTAGATGACAAATGTCTTCATCTTCGTTAAAAAAAATCGTCCAAAAGGTATTGAAACGGAGTGGATTACCGAGAAAATGAATACTTTTCAATACTGTTTTCAATCATAATTTTTCATACAGATCGAACGTCACTACTTAATCAATAAAATTAATTACAGTAAAAAAAGAAATTGTTAATAGAAGGTTATGTAATAATTAATTTATTTCAATTTCCATTTATTCTAACGTTGAAAATATTCACCAATATTTCATGTTTGATTTTCAAGAAAAAATAAGTTTTATGTATTTTTTGTTATTATTTTTATATAATTACAACTAAATTATAATTATACCTCTAAATCAACACTTTACTTTTATCTTTTTTTGTATAATATCATAAGTTAAAGCCATAAAATATAAATTAGTCGAAGATGGTTTGCTAGTTGTGATAAAATTCATTAAAAATTGTTTTAGCCAGTAGTAAAACAGCGTGTAAATGACTATTAACGTTTATTAAACAAAATTAGATAAATTAAAAATTGAGCACCACGCTAGGGTCCCAATAGAAGGCTTTGCCACTGGTCCCGGAGGATCTAGTTATGCCACTGGCGTTGAATAAATAAACTAAATAACTTCAAAGATTTATAGAAACTTCGAATAATATAGAAACCTGTGCATGGCATCGTGCTTTAAGGCAAATTGCTGGAACTTTCCGTACCGTAACTAAAATTTTTGGTACGGAATCAAAAAAAAATTACGAAAATGTGTACACATTAATAAAATCTCTATAAAATATCTGATAATTTGATGTACATATAAACAATAAACATTTTTGACCGCCAAATGACATTTTTACCTTATTTTCAATAAGAGTTCAAACCGCTAGACCTGTCTTCCCAAGAATTCAATCAGTTCTTCATCTTGTCAATACAAGTAAAATGTTTTTTGAATGTTTTTTCGCACTTTTTGCCCCGTATCTTCGAAACGGCTAGACCTGCCTATGCCAAAAACTAATCAGCACGCGTTCTTATTAATATGAATCGAATGTTTTTTAAATAATTGAAATCGGTTGAACCGTGTTCCCGAAATCGTCGACGAAAATTTGTATCCGCACACACACGCACACATACACAAACATCCATTTTTTCTAAGATATGCCAAAATGTTCAGAAACCTCTGAAACGTAAAGAAATATAAAAAAATTCATTTTCGATTTTTTTGCGATTACTATAACTTGCCCTACGGGAAGTTAATAATTTCTAGTCAATAAACTTTCGTTTAGTACAAATGTTTAATTTGTTTCATTATTTTCAAGGAACAGGGTAAAATATTCTTCTGATTCGTCATTTATCATTAAATCAACATTTGTACTACGATGTAACTTTAAAATGTTTATTTATCTATGCCGATTTCCTCGTTGATATCGGTACGCATACTATCTGTGGTAAGCATACAATGATGCATACGTTGACGCCGGTACGCATGCAAACAACGACAGATCTCTATTCACATACACGACGACTAATCACAATCGATCCGTATTGATATAGCATCGCGAGCGAATGGCAAATCGTTGGCATTCGACTCTTATCTGCCGTAACTCACTTCCGTTGCATTTGTACGGATTTACACCCTAGTCGTGCCTAAAGAAGTTTTACTTCAAAAAAGTATAATATTATAGGTTTCATTTGAACAAATTAGTGTTGTGATTTGAGGCACAAATTCTTTACAACACATGCCGTAGAAATATTAAATGTGTCAAATTTATTTTGTAAATTTTCTTTCAAGGTGGCATCCAGCGAGACACCAAAAAAATTCAATAGAACAGCTAACGAAATTATATCGCATGGTGAATTCATGAAAAAATATAATAAAAGTGATAGGTCGCCGGCAAGATCACGTTTGGACGATTACTCACAGAGAACTCGCCTATCGCCCGATAGCTGTGCATCATATTGCGAAGATGCTGATCATGAAGGTCGCAGACATACCGAGCGCTTTTCCAGGGCTAGGATACCTCAAGCTTCTTCGCGAAAGGGTAATACTTTACGTTTACACTTGATTACTATAAACGAGTAGTACAATAAGAGAAATAAGCCTATTGATTGATGTTTCATTTAAATAAAACGCTCAATCCACCTCACTTCACATATGAGTTCGCAGTGATTTTACATGCTACCGAAACAAATTTAAAAAATTGCAAATGCATTTGTATAACTTAAGTTATTTATTTTTAATAGATGTTAATTTGTTCATTGTAACGATTCTTTCATCGTAAGTTCTGAATGTTATTGAACATTTATGTAAAATTAATTAATTGCTCGAAACTAGTATCTGCATAATTAGGCACCATTAATCTCATGTTGTAATATTTTTTTTCATTATTTTATAGCGATTTGAGTCAATTTACTTTACTTTACTTTAACTTTTCAGTCTCTAATGGTAATAGAATACGTCGTGCTCAGCAAAGATGTTCTCGTCAAACATCTGCTCAGTCACAAGATGAAAATGAAAATATAAAGCCAATGTGTTCCACGCAAGCACAACAGAATTTTGAAACTGTCATTGTAGAGAACAAACATGCTCCTTTTCCTTGGTCTGAACCTTGCGATTTCCGCCCTATGCCTAGTTTTCACGCAGAAAATTTTATATCAAAAAAATGTATAAATGATTATAGTGCGGACCAAATAAGCAATTCATCTGTGACTTGTAAGTTGAGAAAAGCTGATGATTCTGAAGATGTTGTGCGAATGACAGAGTGTCATGCTCGAAAATACGAACATCATACTAAAGCCTTATCCGAAAATAACAGTGTTAGCGCTAAAACAGAAAAGGCAGAATTTACCGATACATTGTGCCTCACACTACCGGAAGAGCGGCTTAAGCAAATTTCTAGAAAATTAGCTGGTATTAAGAAACGCATTGCAAAATATGAAGAGACTTACGAAACCCAAAATGGTTACAGAATGTCGCAAGCCGATAAGATGGGAGACAGAGTGTTAAAGAAATTATACAGTGAAATTCAAAAATTAAGAAAAGAAAAATTGCGTTTGAAAATAGATCCGATTACTTTAACAAGTTACGGTAAAGTTGTTTCAAGTAATGAGAGCTTAAAAACAGATGATGATAATAACTACAGCAAACTTAAAGAAATCAAGACTACCCTTGCAGATATTGAAAAGGTATGCTTCATTAATTTAAGCGTTAAATTTTATGTTTTATATTTCTTTATTTTACTTAAATTTCAGAGGCTTCAAGACAAGCGTGATAAATCTAATCGGCCATTGGACTTAGAACAAATGACTCCTGAGCAGTTGGGCGATGAAAAAGTTGCCATGCAAAAGGCACTATTGTTTTTGGAAGCAAAGTACGGTCGCCCCACAACACGCGAAGAAAGGGATTTAGCACATCCCCTGTATGACCGATATCGCCAGGTTAAGCGGCTTATGTTACGAACGCATATGGTAAGCACTGCATTCAACTGATTTATTACCAGTTAATAGTTCATATGGTATTATATTTTATATTTGTATGAATCTGCACGTTTCGTGGTTCAATGATTAGGTATGGAGTTAATAATTTAAATTGTAATTTCTCGCGCGTACTTTTTCAGAAATTAATTTTAATCGCTATAATTATTAAGTCTTCATAAAATTTAACAGATTGTTTTACAAATCTAAACTTCTATGAACGTTGAATAGATTTGTGTTAATCGACCAGGTCATTTCTTTCCTAATTATATGTTCTGGGTTTTGATTACTTTTGTTTGATTGATCTTTTTGGCCGATTATGTGAATTTAAAAATTATTTGATAGTTTGCAAGATAGATAAATGTGTACCAATAAATAATTTCTTAGTAAATTTATCAATTGCCTATTCAAAGTTTATTTTCGGTGGTAAATTGCAGTACCATCTTAATCTTCATCTTTTGGTATATTGGACAAGTAAATTTTCTTTGTGAATAAATATGAATTTTGCATTATTACTAATTCGTAAAATCTCATGTTATAGTTTCTTAATATGGAAAATCTATAATGTTTTCTTTGTTTTATTTTTAGACAAAACTAAACTCGAGTATAAATGAACTCGAAACTATATTGGAGCATGAAACAATGGACTTCATTCCATCTGATTCATCTCAACCATCAATTGCATCATTGCAACTTAATTCTGAAAGATGCAATCTACAATTGTCCAGTTCTACTCATGATGTTTCACCTTTAATAACACGTTCAGATATCTTCAATTCAGATAAATTAAAATCCCCAAGCAGATCAGTTGATGAATCACCTCCATCCTCAATAAACTCGACCGATTCGAATTCAACATCAACAAGTTCTGTGAATGAAAACTTCCATAATTTACCACTAGTTGAGTTAAAATTACAACTGACAGCAACTCAGGAAGAGAAAAAGGAACTTAGAAGGTCTATTAAAGAATATGAACACAACTTTGAAATGAAAACGGGAAAGAAAATGCAAAAGGAAGACAGGGCTAATATGGAAACTACTTACAGTTTGTATAAACAAGTTAAGGCTAAACTTAGACTGTTAGAGGCATTAGTCAACAAGCAAAAACCAAAGTGAGATTTATAATATAATTACCAACATAATAGAAATTGCTTATTAGATCCTATAAGGTGTAATCTATAATATCGTGGTAATATTATTTACAAATATTAGTTTATACAAATTGATATTGTTATTTTTAATAATGGTTATTTAAGTGAAAATTTTGTTAATTAAATTGTTGTTACAATATTTAAATAAAAAATAGTTTTTATTTTATAACAAACAAATGTCATATATAATATCATAAACTTATTTTGTATCTCACATTATGCATATATTATGCCCATATTAACGTTTTGAAATAATAGTGTTAGAACAAAATGAAAATTGTTTTATTTATAAAATTTGAAAAATTGTACTAAGTGATTATTTTTTATGGAATTATTCAACTTTATTAGTGACTTTGTTACAGATGTAGGGTGAATTTTTTCATATATTTTATTAGGTTGGTTTTGTTGTCTACTAACCATTAATCAGGGGAATGGTGATAGGTCATGTGATAGTTTAGTGTAAAAATTGGCTAATACACTACAGTACAGTAACTTGCCCTCAGTAATTCAAAAACATTAAATTTTCATTGTATTTCTTTGTTGTATTTAATAAATGCTATTTTTGATGAATTAAAGTTATAAGTTATGTGATCAATCACTAAATATGTGAAATAAATTTAATCTTAATGCATATTTTGGAGGCTTCTAAATAAATTAATAAAATATTTGTGATTTTTGTTTTTCAAATTAAAATTAAAAGCAGTTTATTTTTGATATCAGGATCAGGCTTCTCGATCCTAAAACAACATAATTTTATTATTTTTAGTAAGTTTTTTTATTTTTCAGAAAGGTAAAAATCCAGTTTTCTCAATATTTGAAATAAGTATAATGTGTAATGTAATGTAAGTATAATGTGTAAATGTATTTTTTTGGTTTATTTAACAGTTCCTGAATATATAGGAGTTACAAAGCAATAATATGTAACTAGTCGTGTATGGCATCGTGCCTTAAGGCAAATTGCTGAAACTTCTTGTACCGTAATGAAAAGTTCGAAGAATGTTAAATGTTTTCAAATAGATTATCATAAATACTGTAATATTGTCTAATATTTATGAGAATTATATAAACTGAATTACGAAGTTAAAATTATTTATTTTAAGTATATAAATGAGCTTTGAAACTTTAGCCAGAATTAAAATTAAAATCTGAATTATTTTTGATATACAAAAAAAAATGAAATGATGTTTTTCAAATTATTCAAATCGGACGTTCCGTTCTCTCAAAAACTGATTTGCCTTTTCAATACGTTTCTCTGAAAAACTGCACTTGCATTTACCAAAAACTAATTCGCACGTCTACCCATCAATAGAAATCGAATGGTTTTCTAATCATTCACATCAGGTGGTCCGTGCTCTCGAAATCGTCGACGAAAAATTGTATCCGCTTTAACTATGGACACATACTTTTTTTTCAAAAGGAATGGCTAGGTATGCCAAAATGTTCAGAAAACCTTGATATGTAAAGATATCATTTATGATTTTTTGCTATTGCCATATAACTTACCCTGTGGAAAGTTAAATAGATAAATTTTGGTAAAACTTTTAGCTAAAGCATACTCTTTGTAAATTATTTATGGTAAAATGTAAAACGTAAGAATTACAAACATAGATAAATAAGATGCTAAATAGATAATATATATATATATATATATATATATATATATACATACAATAAGAGATTCTAAAAGTGCTGATTTCCTTATCTATGGCCGATGTCAAGAAAGCGTTGCGTGTGCTCCACACCTAAAATATTTGTTTATTTCAAATTTAAATAAGATAATTAAAAATGAGCCACCAAAGCTGTTGTATAGTGGATTGTAGAAATACTAGCAGAAAAAGTGACTGCAAATTCTATACATTTTCTACAGCCAAGTGGAAAGACCATCATACGTATACGTTTTGTGCATTTTGTGCAGTACACAAAGTGTACAAAAATATTTAAAGTCAGGACTTCCTACAGCTCGTGGCGATAAAGATTTTGAAGCTGGGCTTTTATCGCAATCATAATGTAGCCAGCGACTACACATCCCACAGCTTATCCAGGAATCACTAGAAGACTTAAATTTTTTATTACAATGAAGGATGATCTGTTAGCGAATCGCTAGAAGAGGTACAAATTGGACAAATGTTTTGTACCGGTGAGATACTTTTTAAAAAGTTTGTCATTAATTCTTCTCTATATGTACTAGGTTCCATTTTATAATTTAAATCAATGTTCTGTAATAGACAGGATGCATTTTTAATTGTGAAAAGCCCACAACTATGATTATCATCCTGTTAAGGGGAAGTTATTTTATGAAAATTCCATTGCAATTTTTCTGTGTTTGTTAAACAGTTATTGCAAAATTGATTAAAAATTTTGGAATCGGTCAAATCATCAGTACAAGAATTAATGACACTGAAATGTTTTTTTTCTGTATCTATTAAGATTAAGAGCCAATGGGAATTAATATTATGTGGCACTATATATTTTATACCTGATGATAAATCTAGAACAAAGTTATCATTTTTAATATTCATAATATGGTTATATTCATGAACAGTAAAAATTTTGAAGTTTTTGTTATTATTACCAATTGATGCTAAATGAGAGTCGATGATTATATCATCTAACCACTCATTTTTATACAAACTGAAGAAATTAATCAATTTAATTGCATTTTTACCCAAAAATCCTATAAGATATGATTTGACAGATATCCCTATCATGTAAGTAGGGTTTTATGTAGAAATTGAAATCTTTAGCTATACAGTTATGATACAAATCTATTACTAATTCTGCACCAGAGTCGGCAGAGTTATTCGTGTTCAAGCATTTCTTTAAAGAAAAAGTGTTTTTCTTGCATAAATAAAAATTTACTGAACTTTTAGTTTTTTTGTTCCATGTTTCCGTGGCATCTCTCACATCTACTGTTGTTATGTCATGGTCCTCATTTACATTTAATGACTTTGTATTGCATTTTTTTTTTCAAATCATTATTGCAATACTCGATATAGTCTTTAATTATGTTTATACAACGTCCCATCTTCATATTTTTAACACCATGGCAGACATTGTTTTTTAATGTGTTAAAATAAGATTCGACAACAGCATTTGAATACAAATGTTTTCTGTCGTTGTCCAACATTAGACCTGACCACAAAGGTATAATAGGAATGTATCTGTTAGTAATGTAATTTAAAAATGCCGGGTTAAAGAAAGGATTTTTATATCCTTCCTTCGGCATATGTTTGACAATTTCACATTTAATATTAAAAAAGTCTTTATAAAATAGACTATTTTTTAAAATATCTTCACATGATGTAGGGTCTTCTGTTATTTCCAGTTCATCATTATTCGTTGAGATTATCTTGTTGAGGCTTATTAATGATTCTTCATTTTCTAACTGATTAATTTCCTGGATTGCTAAATCTATTTCTTTACTATGATACTCACTACCTAAAATCCACACAATGTGAGCAAACATTTTTTGAGCATACTTCAAATCTCTACATTTTTCTCCTAACAGATAAATAATTGATCTAACAGACAACGATTCTAATTGCTATAATAAAATTTGCCAAATAATACCCGGCAGACCCGCCACTAACATAACCTCAAGAACGATTGTTAACAATTGTAAAAAGTAGCCTGAAAACGTTGTCGAACTAATATAAAACACAACATTATTACTTTATATTCATAGTTATTTATTAATATTCATCACTAATTCAGTTATTGATAAGATAAATGTAAAAAATTTGCCAAATAAATTCTGGCAGACCCGCCACTAATTTATGAAACAAAAAACACAACTTTCACTATGTAGAACTAATATCAAACACAACATTATTACTTTATATTCATAGTTATTTATTAATATTCATCACTAATTCAGTTATTGATAAGATAAATGTAAAAAATTTGCCAAATAAATTCTGGCAGACCCGCCACTAATTTATGAAACAAAAAACACAACTTTCACTATGTAGAACTAATATCAAACACAACATTATTACTTTATATTCATAGTTATTTATTAATATTCATCACTAATTCAGTTATTGATAAGATAAATGTAAAAATTTGCCAAATAAATTCTGGCAGACCCGCCACTAATTTATGAAACAAAAAACACAACTTTCACTATGTAGAACTAATATCAACACAACATTATTACTTTATATTCATAGTTATTTATTAATATTCATCACTAATTCAGTTATTGATAAGATAAATGTAAAAAATTTGCCAAATAAATTCTGGCAGACCCGTACCATAACCTCAAACGATTTATAAACAAAAATAGCCTGAAAACTTTGTCGAACTAATATAAACACAACATTATTACTTTATATTCATAGTTATTTATTAATATTCATCACTAATTCAGTTATTGATAAGATAAATGTAAAAAATTTGCCAAATAAATTCTGGCAGACCCGCCACTAACATAACCTCAAGAACGATTGTTAACAATTGCAAAAAGTAGCCTGAAAACGTTGTCGAACTAATATAAAACACAACATTATTACTTTATATTCATAGTTATTTATTAATATTCATCACTAATTCAGTTATTGATAAGATAAATGTAAAAAATTGCCAAATAATTCTGGCAGACCCGTAACTAACAACTCAAGACGATGAAACAATTGTAAAAAGTAGCCTGAAAACGTTGTAGAACTAATATAAAACACAACATTATTACTTTATATTCATAGTTATTTATTAATATTCATCACTAATTCAGTTATTGATAAGATAAATGTAAAAAATTGCCAAATAAATTCTGGCAGACCCGCCACTAACATAACCTCAAGAACGATTGTTAACAATGTAAAAAGTAGCCTGAAAACGTTGTCGAACTAATATAAAACACAACATTATTACTTTATATTCATAGTTATTTATTAATATTCATCACTAATTCAGTTATTGATAAGATAAATGTAAAAAATTTGCCAAATAAATTCTGGCAGACCCGCCACTAATTTATGAAACAAAAAACACAACTTTCACTATGTAGAACTAATATCAAACACAACATTATTACTTTATATTCATAGTTATTTATTAATATTCATCACTAATTCATTTATTGATAAGATAAATGTAAAAAAATTGCCAAATAAATTCTGGCAGACCCGCCACTAATTTATGAAACAAAAAACACAACTTTCACTATGTAGAACTAATATCAAACACAACATTATTACTTTATATTCATAGTTATTTATTAATATTCATCACTAATTCAGTTATTGATAAGATAAATGTAAAAAATTTGCCAAATAAATTCTGGCAGACCCGTAACTAACATAACCTCAAGAACGATTGTTAACAATTGCAAAAAGTAGCCTGAAAACGTTGTCGAACTAATATAAAACACAACATTATTACTTTATATTCATAGTTATTTATTAATATTCATCACTAATTCAGTTATTGATAAGATAAATGTAAAAAATTTGCCAAATAAATTCTGGCAGACCCGCCACTAATTTATGAAACAAAAAACACAACTTTCACTATGTAGAACTAATATCAAACACAACATTATTACTTTATATTCATAGTTATTTATTAATATTCATCACTAATTCAGTTATTGATAAGATAAATGTAAAAAATTTGCCAAATAAATTCTGGCAGACCCGTAACTAACATAACCTCAAGAACGATTGTTAACAATTGCAAAAAGTAGCCTGAAAACTTTGTCGAACTAATATAAAACACAACATTATTACTTTATATTCATAGTTATTTATAATATTCATCACTAATTCAGTTATTGATAAGATAAATGTAAAAAATTTGCCAAATAAATTCTGGCAGACCCGCCACTAACATAACCTCAAGAACGATTGTTAACAATTGCAAAAAGTAGCCTGAAAACGTTGTCGAACTAATATAAAACACAACATTATTACTTTATATTCATAGTTATTTATTAATATTCATCACTAATTCAGTTATTGATAAGATAAATGTAAAAAATTTGCCAAATAAATTCTGGCAGACCCGTAACTAACATAACCTCAAGAACGATTGTTAACAATTGCAAAAAGTAGCCTGAAAACTTGTCGAACTAATATAAAACACAACATTATTACTTTATATTCATAGTTATTTATTAATATTCATCACTAATTCAGTTATTGATAAGATAAATGTAAAAAATTTGCCAAATAATTCTGGCAGACCCGCCACTAACATAACCTCAAGAACGATTGTTAACAATTGCAAAAAGTAGCCTGAAAACGTTGTCGAACTAATATAAAACACAACATTATTACTTTATATTCATAGTTATTTATTAATATTCATCACTAATTCAGTTATTGATAAGATAAATGTAAAAAATTTGCCAAATAAATTCTGGCAGACCCGTAACTAACATAACCTCAAGAACGATTGTTAACAATTGTAAAAGTAGCCTGAAAACGTTGTCGAACTAATATAAAACACAACATTATTACTTTATATTCATAGTTATTTATTAATATTCATCACTAATTCAGTTATTGATAAGATAAATGTAAAAAAATTGCCAAATAAATTCTGGCAGACCCGCCACTAACATAACCTCAAGAACGATTGTTAACAATTGTAAAAAGTAGCCTGAAAACGTTGTCGAACTAATATAAAACACAACATTATTACTTTATATTCATAGTTATTTATTAATATTCATCACTAATTCAGTTATTGATAAGATAAATGTAAAAAATTTGCCAAATAAATTCTGGCAGACCCGCCACTAATTTATGAAACAAAAAACACAACTTTCACTATGTAGAACTAATATCAAACACAACATTATTACTTTATATTCATAGTTATTTATTAATATTCATCACTAATTCATTTATTGATAAGATAAATGTAAAAAAATTGCCAAATAAATTCTGGCAGACCCGCCACTAATTTATGAAACAAAAAACACAACTTTCACTATGTAGAACTAATATCAAACACAACATTATTACTTTATATTCATAGTTATTTATTAATATACATCACTAATTCAGTTATTGATAAGATAAATGTAAAAAATTTGCCAAATAAATTCTGGCAGACCCGTAACTAACATAACCTCAAGAACGATTGTTAACAATTGCAAAAAGTAGCCTGAAAACGTTGTCGAACTAATATAAAACACAACATTATTACTTTATATTCATAGTTATTTATTAATATTCATCACTAATTCAGTTATTGATAAGATAAATGTAAAAAATTTGCCAAATAAATTCTGGCAGACCCGCCACTAATTTATGAAACAAAAAACACAACTTTCACTATGTAGAACTAATATCAAACACAACATTATTACTTTATATTCATAGTTATTTATTAATATTCATCACTAATTCAGTTATTGATAAGATAAATGTAAAAAATTTGCCAAATAAATTCTGGCAGACCCGTAACTAACATAACCTCAAGAACGATTGTTAACAATTGCAAAAAGTAGCCTGAAAACTTTGTCGAACTAATATAAAACACAACATTATTACTTTATATTCATAGTTATTTAATAATATTCATCACTAATTCAGTTATTGATAAGATAAATGTAAAAAATTTGCCAAATAAATTCTGGCAGACCCGCCACTAACATAACCTCAAGAACGATTGTTAACAATTGCAAAAAGTAGCCTGAAAACGTTGTCGAACTAATATAAAACACAACATTATTACTTTATATTCATAGTTATTTATTAATATTCATCACTAATTCAGTTATTGATAAGATAAATGTAAAAAATTTGCCAAATAAATTCTGGCAGACCCGTAACTAACATAACCTCAAGAACGATTGTTAACAATTGTAAAAAGTAGCCTGAAAACGTTGTCGAACTAATATAAAACACAACATTATTACTTTATATTCATAGTTATTTATTAATATTCATCACTAATTCAGTTATTGATAAGATAAATGTAAAAAAATTGCCAAATAAATTCTGGCAGACCCGCCACTAACATAACCTCAAGAACGATTGTTAACAATTGTAAAAAGTAGCCTGAAAACGTTGTCGAACTAATATAAAACACAACATTATTACTTTATATTCATAGTTATTTATTAATATTCATCACTAATTCAGTTATTGATAAGATAAATGTAAAAAATTTGCCAAATAAATTCTGGCAGACCCGCCACTAATTTATGAAACAAAAAACACAACTTTCACTATGTAGAACTAATATCAAACACAACATTATTACTTTATATTCATAGTTATTTATTAATATTCATCACTAATTCATTTATTGATAAGATAAATGTAAAAAAATTGCCAAATAAATTCTGGCAGACCCGCCACTAATTTATGAAACAAAAAACATAACTTTCACTATGTAGAACTAATATCAAACACAACATTATTACTTTATATTCATAGTTATTTATTAATATCCACTAATTCAGTTATTGATAAGATAAATGTAAAAAATTTGCCAAATAAATTCTGGCAGACCCGTAACTAACATAACCTCAAGAACGATTGTTAACAATTGCAAAAAGTAGCCTGAAAACGTTGTCGAACTAATATAAAACACAACATTATTACTTTATATTCATAGTTATTTATTAATATTCATCACTAATTCAGTTATTGATAAGATAAATGTAAAAAATTTGCCAAATAAATTCTGGCAGACCCGTAACTAACATAACCTCAAGAACGATTGTTAACAATTGTAAAAAGTAGCCTGAAAACGTTGTCGAACTAATATAAAACACAACATTATTACTTTATATTCATAGTTATTTATTAATATTCATCACTAATTCAGTTATTGATAAGATAAATGTAAAAAAATTGCCAAATAAATTCTGGCAGACCCGCCACTAACATAACCTCAAGAACGATTGTTAACAATTGTAAAAAGTAGCCTGAAAACGTTGACGAACTAATATAAAACACAACATTATTACTTTATATTCATAGTTATTTATTAATATTCATCACTTATTCAGTTATTGATAAGATAAATGTAAAAAATTTGCCAAATAAACACTGGCAGGCCCTCGACACTATTTCAACACATCTTCGAACATATTTTGACACTGCAGATCATGGCGGTTGGTATCAATGTACTATGACATATGTAAAAATACTTGATTTTAGGTTAAAGATTTTTATGTCAAACAAAGATAATGCAAAATAAATGAAATTTAATTGAATAAATTATTATATTTTAATCATTTTCATAAAGAAAATAGGTTTTAAATGTTGGCCACGCCTTCGCCGATAGGCCACGCCCACGAAACTGTCAAATACCTGGACCCTAGACATTTGACATAAGCTTTGAGGCACTTAACCTTAAAAATATTTACTGCATTTCTTTATTTAATTAATCATTATACTTAATTATGTTTTAAGTACGTTGAAGTAAATTTGATAATTTCAATAAACATTCAGCGTTCACATTATTACTGTATCTTGTTTATTTTTATTTATAACAATTATTTAATATCTTCTATCTTTAACAAACATATAAAAACCCATGAAAACCACACACTGATAGCCGCAATTAGTTCATATTTATTACGGCGCTGCATGGGCGCTGCAGTCACGCACATTTCGCGCCATAGATTCGCACGATTCGCACAACGCGCACAATGCTTATGTCAGAAACGATTTATTTACGAACCCAACTTCAAATGACGTAGGCCGGTACATAAAAATGGAATGTCAAGATTTAAAAGTAAAATTTAGCCTTCGAAGAATTTATCAAATTTATAATTTCTTTTAATACTCAATTTTATAAACTATGATAGTTTTCTACAAAGTTTTAACAAATTGCGAAAATGTCAAAGGAAGAGTTTGACATATACGGGGACTTAGAAGACTTTGATTTTGGGGAACGTATAAAAACGGTACTGTTTTACATTTACCATTCGCTGTATAATTACAACTTAGCGAATAATTGAACAACAGATTATAAAAATAAATATTAAAAATAATTAACATAAAAAACAATAATATTCAGAATATTATAAAGTAATAGTAACTTAATATTATATTAGGTTGTCAAATATCTCCCTTCCGCTTTTTTGCTCTTGGTTTATAATACAAAAAGGCGGAAGGGAGATATTTGACAACCTAATATATGTTTTATACTACATATATTATACGTATATGTTTTAAAACTAAATAATTATAATATTGATACCTAGATAGTATTGATAAATAGCTATAGTTTTTGTAAATAATATATTTTATTATTTCATTTATGAGAGAGACATTGGTGTTAATATATCAATTCTCATCACTTTAAATTAGATAAATTAGTTAAAATGTTGTTTCAGCTCGAAACTGAAGTTAAACACTTATCAGAGAAAAATAATGATAAGGATCAGCACATATCTAGTCTTGAAGCTAAAATTAAGGAATTATGTGATGCCAATAACCAACTTACTAATAATTTAAGTTCTCTTATGAAAACTGCTAAATCAGAAGTGGCTCGAAAAGATAAAACAATTGCAGAATTAAGGAAGCAGTAATTATTATTTATGATATGTAATTTTGTAGTTGTTGATTCCTAATTGTTTATTACATTTGAATATATTCCAGAAATGATGATCTTGTATTCCGTCGTAATAGAAATATCAGTGATACGCGAAAGGATTCCACATTTGATGAGAATGTTATATCAAAGCATCCAAATAATGAGTATTCTACTAATGACAAGCAGCATTATAATAAAAATAATAACAAAAGGAAATATGATGCTAATGATAAATTTTCCAAGAGAATAAAAATGTCTGATAATGCTGGTAATAGTGATGATATTAATTATTGTAAAAATGATTCAACTACGAAAAGGGCAGAATTGGAAATTAGTGCAAATGTTGATAAAAAGCTAACTTCAAAATCAAATTCCAGTTTATCTTATGATACTTTGAAAAGTCAGTATAAAGAACCACCTGTATTAAAAAATAATCAAAATAAAGATCCTGCTCATGAATTAAAAAAAAATTACAAAAGTGATTTATCTAAGAAAAACAAAACAAATTTAGATGCTTATTTTACAAAAAGCAATAAATCTGATAATTCAACAGTATCTGAAAAGAGATACAATGATAAAAGAGAAAGATATGAAAGAAGGTACTCAAAGGACAAGGATAGACCATCTAGTTCTCATAAAGAAGACAGAAGACAAAATAGCTCTAAAATCCTACCTGAAAAACACAGTAACATAAATAAAGAAAATCATAATAGTAGAACTCGGCATTTAGACAAATCCTCAAAAACAAGGACCAATCATGAATCGTGAGTACAATAATTTATCCATGTTTTCATCTTAGAACAACCTGAATATTTATGCTAGCAGAATGAATATTATTTTTAATTATTCATTTCACGAAAAACCTTCTGTTTTTCCTCCCTTATTTATTACCTCTAAATGATCATATGGGTGGGAAATTATGAGTATGAAATTATAAATGGTTTTTGTGTCTGATGTGTGTTTTATGAGTGGGTATGTGTTTAAAAAATTATTTCATTTATAACATATTAATTTATGTTGGCCTGTATAATTTAGTTGCTGGACAATTCTTACAATTTATTTTATATATGATATTGCATTTTACCTTATTGATATATGGTAAATTACCATAAATACTATTTATGTAAAAACAAAATGGTATACTACTATAAATGCTATACAATATTACTATTTATCAAATATTTTGGTTTATGTAGTGAAAGTTGCAAGTAAGCAATGTTACCAAATTAAATTTGAATGTGTTAAAACTTTTAAATGCATTTTGCAAGAAGTTTTGTTTTGTATTTTTTTATTTATCTTTTGCTATCTATAGTTGTTCGCAAGCTGTTTTTAATCATAAGCTTGTACTATACATTGTTTGTTAAATAATGAAATTATATCTAAGTTAATTTTTGTATTATTTTTACATTCTTTTCAGTAAATTTATAAGATTTGCCAATTATAATTGTTAGTAACATAAAATTAATTTTTCATGAATATTTATTTTCATTCATTTTTTCAATGGTAAAAAATAAAATCTTTCAATTTTCAATTATTTAAAATCTTTATAAATGTAATAATATTTTTAGTAGTTCCTGAAGCTGGAAATATCTAATATCACCACAACATCGAATAATTACAAATGTAAAATGTAATTTTTTTCTGTGAATATCCAATGTGAAGTTACGGTGAAATAACTTGAAAAAAAAGCATTTTTTCTCAAGGATTGTGTCAAGATTTTCAGACATATATTATTTTATATTCCTTGGGCATAAAGCATGTTTTATAAATATTTGGACTTATTATTATCAATTTGTGCCTTTTCGTGCTCTATGGGCTACCTACATAAATTAGGATCAAATACTTAATTCTTCAACTTTAAATAAATTAGTGTGAGATCAATTGACTTAATTTTTAATATATTTTATAATTCTCTGAATGATATATTAATTTATAATTTTCTATAGATCAGTGAATGACTTGGAACATGAAGCCAAGATTGATATCTTGGTTAAGAAGAAGCAAGATTTAATAAAAGAGTTGCAAAAAGAATCTGAAAAAAATATGGGTGTTTTTGATGTTGATGATAAAGATCCTGGAGATATTGAAAAATGTGTGCAAACAAATTTATCTCTGTCAGTAAAAGGAGATGATATGCGGAAATCAACTGAACATAATGAGAACAAAATTTCTAACATACCAAATAAAAAGACTCTAACATCAGAAAATGAATATAATTCACAAAATTCAGATCATGTGCCCGATGTAAACAACTCAAATGTGCAAAATACAATAGACCAGAAGAAACAAATAGATCGTATACATGACAGAGAGCCTAAATATTCAAAAAACATCAAGATGGAGGAATCCTCAGAAATCCCAAAAAATATTCAAATATCTTCCATATCCTTACATGGTAAGGATTTTGATATTGAAAAGTCATCTGAAAAGACAAAGCAAGATAAACTAATTCAAAATAAACAAAAAGATACCAAAGATGACAGCAAATATGATAATGAATCTGCAGGAATATTCAAAAATGATCAAATACCTGCTGCAAGTTTGTCGGAAAACAATTGCAATCAAGAAGTTTCCGAGCAACCAAAAACTGAGATAACAAACAAGCAAAGTGAAATATATGAGGAGAAACATATGGAACTTAAACAAGATAAAAAATCTGCACAAATATTTAAAAATGACCAAATACCTTCTGCAGGTTTGTCTGTAAACAATTGCAGTAAAAAACCATGTGAGCAACTAGAAACTGAGCCAACAAACATGAAAAGTGAAATAAATGAAGAGAAACATACTGAACTTAAACAACATTCTGATAATTTTGATACATTTTGTGAGAAATCTTTAGGATTAACTGATGGTCGAACATCTTTCAAATCGGAACATAATATCAAAAACAGCAATGATAAAAAAGAAAATTTTAATGTGGAAAAAAATCATGTTCATTCTGAGTCGACTGAAAATATAATATCACAACTTGAAAATGATACACTGGATTATTCTTTTAAAATAGATGATTCAAAAAGCAATTTATCAGAAAATAATAAACATGAAGTGAATGAAATAGATGCAATGCTGAAAGCTATACATAATGGAGGTCATGTTCCAAAATCATCTATTAATAACAATGTTGTTTCAACTAATGTTTGTATTAATTCAAGTATTTCTGAAAATTCTAATATGTATCAATCAAACTCTAATGCCACTAAATATACATGTGCGGTTAGTAATAGAAATTGTTATAATATCAAATTAAATAGAGTCAGAAAACGAAAATCAAATAAATGAATTTTCAATATTATAACTTTGTAGATTATTTGTAATTTTATAGAAAGATTTGAGTATTGAAAAGTATCAACCCAAATTATCAATGCTACAAATGTGTTGATATAAAAGTTGCATATACCACAAAGTACTTTTCACATGCGAGAAGTGCAAGTACAAGAAATACTTAAAGTCTAGTACCTATAAATTATTAAATATTGTTATTTTTATATTTGCTACTACATTTTGGTAGACTCTTGAGAGAAAGAAAACTATTCTAGATTTTTTCATCATTGATCATTTAATTCTTAATATTTTTTGGTATTTCTATCATCATTTCTTTTAAACACTTTAATATGTGTAATTGCAATAAGTACTTTTAGTTCCTAGACTTAACTTCGTGAAACGTGTTTTAATTTTTGTTAAAAATGAATCTAACTTTCAAAAACGTTCAATAGTTTTTTAGAAATAATAGATTTTTGATTTTCCATAAATTTATCAAAAAATTACAGAATTTTGAAATTATGAAAAAATGATGAAAAAATGTTTCAAATTTTTGAATTTTGAAAAATGCATAAATTAAAATTTAATTACTATGTTTTTAATTTCTCAAATTAATTAAATTATAATTTTTTGATGATAAAAATTATAATATGATAAATTTTTAAAATATATGATAAAATTTTAAAGATTATTAAAATTGTTTTCTTCCCTACCTCCCGTAGGGTAAGTTCATATAGTAATGGCTCGAAAATCGAAAATGAAAATCTTTGCATATTTCACGTGTTGAAGGTTTCTGAACATTTTGACATACCTCAGAAAAAATGAATGTGTGTGTGTGTTTTGTATGTCCGCGTTTATTCGTCCACGTTTTCGGGCGCACAGATCAACCGATTTGAATAGTTCAAAAAATTTTCGATTCCTATTGATAGGGAGATGTGCTGATTACTTTTTGGCAAAGGCAGGTCCAGCCGTTGAAGAAATACGGAGCAAAGAGTGCAGAAAATACAAATCGAGTTTTTGGGAGAACGGAGTATCCGATTTGAATGATCTAAAAAAACATTCAATTTGTAATGATTGGGAGAAGAGGTGATTAGTTTTTGCAAAGGTAGGTGTAACCATTTAGAAGATACAGAGCTAAATGTGCAAAAAATGGCAGTTTTTGAAAGAACTAAGCGTCCTATTTGAATGATTCAAAGAATTTTTTGCTTGTTTTAACAAAATAATTGCTTTTGGGATTTATTTATTTTTTTTTTTTGTGTATCGATAATAATTCAGATTTTAATTTTAATTCTGACTAAATTTCTAATATACTTTAAACTAATAAGTTCAACTTTGCAATTCAGTTTATATAATTCTTATAAATATTAGACAATGTTATAACATTAATATTGTATGCAATATTTATAATAATCTATTTGAAAACATTTAATATTTCTCGAACATTTTGTTACGGTACGGGAAGTTTCAGCAATTTGCCTTAAGGTACGATGCCATACACCACCAGTTTTTTTTTTAAGTTAACCAGTAAAGAATTAAGTTTATTCAAAAAAATGTGGATTTTAGTACAGAATCACAAATATGATATCTATGGATTCTCCACATCATTCGCATGGTCCCATCTGTTACTCTGCTTCCTGTGGAATGTCTATGGCTAAATATTGCTTTTCAGATACCTTACGTCGTAATATGACCCAGCAACTAACGTCGTCAAGTTTGTGTAATGGTTTTATGGTCATTGTTTCGATAAATAGTTTTTTTTATACTTTAAATCAATTAGCTCGATTTTATTTAAGTTATACTGTTTCTATGTAGTGCTGTTCAGTTTTGTAAATTCAGTTGGTGATTTAAGTGTAGTGCAGTTGTTCTGTGAGCAGTGGTATATTAAATAGATCATACGCCCATAATAAGCAAAATTTTTAAAATAGCTTATTTAATGGGCAATAAGTCTAACTTGTTCAGGACAATCCAAGAGGTAAATTATGACTGTAACAGTAATTTAAACATGAATAAAATAGAGTAATAAATGTTTGACAGTAATGCTAAAAACGAGTATTGTGCTCGAGCGACATTTTCTTATAACATATGTATGTGCATTTTGCGGATGCAACCTACATACAACAGCCATCAGCAGATTCTATCATGAATTTTCAGAAATATATTACCAGATGTCAATTATAATTTCAAAAAGCAAAAGAAATTGTTAAAGCTATTTGAAGTAAATTTATTTTTGATCCAATGAATGCCAAATTCCCGAAAATACGGAAAGATAAATATATATATATATATATATATATATATATATATATATATATATGTTGAATTTGTATTTTATAGATAATGGGTGTATATTTGCATTTCAAAGGCATTGAAAATTGGCAAGAAATTCATAGTTTTTAGTCTTTATGTTATAATAATTAATAATTTTTTTATGATTTCAGTCACTTGCACTATTTTTCACACAAACCAATTTGGAATATCAAGCTTTTTGGACTAGGAATATTTTTTTTCTGAAATGGTGTCATATTAATTATGTTGTCCAGTCATCCTACTTCTTTCGGTTGTAATCAATTTATTGGATCCAGGAACTTTTATTTTCATTAATGTTAGAATTAACTTAATATTTAACAATTTTATTAACTAATTTTTTTTATTTTATTTAGGTATTTTCTTCTAATTTTGGATATCTTTCCTGGGAATCATTTTACTTTTAAAAAAGGTTTTATGAAAATAATGAAAAATGTAGCTAAAGAATTTACTGTTCTACCACGCCTCGTATTTTTGACTAATGAACATTATACAAAAATAGGAAGCTATTTTTCTGTGCATAGTTGTTAGATTATTATAATTAGAATTGTCTGTTACTGTTATAATATTTAACTTTTAGAGTGTTTTGGAATTTAGAAACATTTTTGAAAAAAAGTGTATCAAATAAAGTTAGTACTAAAAGCTATGTTTATGGCACAAATATGTGATTTTAACGTCTAAACGAGTTATAAGTCTGATTTTATAAAGAGTTAAGTTTCAATTTCATACTTCCAAATCGTAAGAAGCAACAAAGAGTCTCAACGTATTTGAAGTTCATCTGTAATCAATCAATATTTTTCTTTATTACATCAAACAAAAATACTTTTCGTTTCTTCTTATGGCGCTCATTTTGTTTACTAGATTAGACATCAAAATATTAAATGTAACATTCAACACAATAAAATAAAATAATATTTTTATCTCAAAACTTAACCATTTTTGTCTTATTCCAATAAATATTTTACTTTTCAATAAAACATTTCAATTGCAATATAATATTTTTTATTTAAGAATTATACTTTAATAATTTTAACAGGTGGCATATAAAACTTCTAATTGATCTGTAAGTACAATTTATTTTTTCTCTAAAATGATTTTATTGCCTACTTAAAGTTTGGCAATAATTTGGTATTTCAATATTATGAGTTAGGATTCAGACAGTACAAGATTTCCATAGCAGATTCTTTTACATTTTATAATCAAAAACTAAATTTTTCTGTTATTAAATGGAGTATTCGTGAAATCTTTTTAAAAGCAAATTTAACTTGGTAGTTCCATGTTTGAGTTTGCTTATACAATTACAACTAGACAATATAAAATTAATTATATCACTGTTTTACATATTTTAAATAAGTATTATATAAAAGTTATTAAGTCATACTAAATAAGTTTTCCAATGCAAATTTCTTTTTAACTACTCTAACTAAGGTATGTTAGTATATTAAAAAAAAATTGTTATTGCAATATTTGAGTTAAATGTAGATTAGATGTTAATTGTAGATTCACAAACATTTTATAATTTTCTGAGTCAACAAAGTATTAATTCGGGCCTTTTCCTCTTACTTAGGCGAATATACATTGAATCAAACATTTTTATAGTGTTTATATTATCTTTTTTTTACATACTTTGCTATGTGTTATTAAATCCAATTAGAATTAACCTATTAGAATTTAGTTTGGAGCTACTCAGTCTACCTTCAGAGTAATAATATTAAACTAATGGTGTATGGCATCGTGCCTTAAGGCAAATTGCTGAAGCTTTCGGTACCAGAATTAAGTAAACAGATAATTATAATACTATATATTTTATCGATCATAAAATATACAGTGACGATCTTATCACTCAAAGCACTTGAGAAAGTTTACATTAGCGAGAGATGCCGAATAAATCCATCTGAGGATATATTTCTTACGATCAGAATAACGCATTTGAAATATATACATTTTGAAACATATTTGAAGTATAAATCTGTATATTTTGGAAAATTTTGAAAAAAAAAAATTCTGAAAATTTTAAAATTAGCTTGAACCGTATATGTAAACCTTAAAATTTAAAAATCTTGGTACGGAACCCAACAAAATAAATTATTACTCATTTTTAAATTTTTTATCAAATATATGATAATTTGATGTGAATGCGTCTAATGTTCCTTTTTATACCGCCAAATGTATTTTTTTATTTTACTTTTTCTTCTGTATCTCGAAAACCGCTGGACCCGCCTTACGAAAATTTTATCAAATATTCATTTCGTCATTACAAGTATAATGTTTTTTTAACTTCCCGTAGGGCAAGTTATAGTAATCGCAAAAAAATCGAAAATGAGCTTTGCCCTTGCCTCTGGTCCCCACGGAAACAGGCATTACTTCGTGGGGGGAGGATCTAGAATGATATAATTCTTTAACTTGTTATAATCAATATGATAATTCATAAACATTATACTCATCTTTTATGGATGTATGTGTGTATGTGTGTGTGTGCGGATACAAATTTTCGTCGACGATTTCGGGACACCGATCAACCGATTTGAATAATTCAAAAAACATTCGATTCGTATTGATAAGGAGAGGTGCTGATTAGTTTTTGGCGAAGGCAGATATTGCCGTTCCGAAGATACGGAGCAAAAAGTGCCAAAAATGGTAACTCAGTTTTTAAGAGAACGGTGCGTCCGATTTTAATAATTCAGAAAACATTTTACTTGTATTGACAAGATGAAGAA